CAGGCAGAAGGGCAGAGCAGGACAGACTTTATTTGTGCTGATAAAACACAACGTTGACGCTCCAATGACTGCAATACCTGTTGTGCATTCAGCCAGCACCATCTGATCAATGAGTTATTGGATAAACTGTGTTGGGCATAAATATGTAAGAGCATCTCTGTCTTTGTGGCTGCACTTAAGTTTTTTCACACATGACCTGACTTAAAGCACTCTGTTGTCTGAGGCAAAGAAAACACGTGAACTTGTGTTATTTATAAGTTTGTTATCTTGATTTGTCATCTCGTCCTGGAGCCCCCGAAGTCCTCTGTTCTCAAGTTCACTGTGATTTATGGCTCTAATATCAGGCAGGACATTCTCACTAGGCCTCTGCTGCATACTACCTGGGCTGTCATAAAAACACCAATCCAGAAGCCGGCTACATTTCACAGAGTGGCAGGTGGAGACAGTGGAAAATTGTCTGTGGAGCCCCTCTCTCACTTTGTTGTGAAATACGCATTATATCAGCCCCAGCTCATGCAGTGAGGGTGCACTACAGTGATGTATTATGGGTTCATATAGGAGGGTACATTTGCTGGCCCTTACATTTCAATGACTGATACAAAAAAAACAATATACCACTTCCATCCATCCATTTCCCCCTTCTCCAGGTGATGGAGGCAGCGGTCTGAGCACAGATGTCCAGACTTCATCCATGCACTTCATCCTGCTCATGGGGTATCCCCAGGCGTCCCAAGCCACACAAATATATTCATACGTGGTAATCTCCATTGTGGTTTTCATGATGTCTTATTACAGTCTCCTTTTTAGGTGTGCAGGGACTTCACACATCGAGGTGAATGGGAACAAACAGAAGCAATAAAAGTACTTGATTTGAGAATATAAAAAAAAAAATATATATATATATATATATATATATATATATATATATATATATATATATATATATATATGGAAAAATATATACATAAAAAGATAAGAATATATATTTTATGATCAATTAATATTTATAATAACAATATCAGAAGTGTGTGTATTTGTGTAAATCACTGTCTGAAACATAAACTTAGAAGTTCACTTCGAGAAGTTCTCGTGGCCAGCAGCGTTGAGTTTGTCATAACTCATGGCTTGTGCATAATTAAGCGTTGCCAGATAATATTTTCATGCATTAGAGAAAGGATTACGATCGATCAACTGAAGCAACATGACACACTCATGCTGACTCCTTCCAGCTCATCTGCCGCCCTTTCAGGGCCCTAAAAAGATGTAATAACAGAAGAGTGCGGGAGTTTTCACACCTGCTGCCAGAGCTGGAGCAGACGCAGCGCTTTTCAGAGCGGCCAGTCCCAGAGGAGGAGGCCTGTCCTGCAGTGAGAGATGTCCTCAGTGTGGCTCTTTGTGGGCAGCGGCCTGTGCTCCTCAATGCATCAGGCTGACAGCTTGACTTTTTTGTTTTGTCCCATGGGACTGTGTCAAACCCACTGTCAAAGTAGCTTTTGCCACTGTTGGTGGCTACATTTGTCCTTCTGCAGTAGGATTCATGATCTGATCTTGTGATCATTTCAAGTTTTGCAGAATTTATGATCATTTCATTTTAGGATTCACACTTTCAACCGCTAAAACACCAAGGTCTGCCCCGATCACGACAAGCTATTTAACAAATTACAGTCCACCACAAACACTTATTAAGCATATAAATGTGCTTAATAGTGTGATAAAGTTGATGATAAAACACATCAAACAAGCGTATCTGCTGCCAAAACCAATTTAACAAATAGCAAACATTAACCAGGCCATTATTGTGTCCATTTTGTTGAGTGTTTGTGGTGCTGCAGCAGCCAAACTGCTTGATGATGGCATTTGTTAAACATTGATTAATTGGCAAACACGTTTAGAATTGCTAATTATAGTGCAGCCAAAGCAAATCCTCCTGAGCTTACAGACCCTTTTTCTCTGCACTCTACAAAACTAGAAAGCCAGAGGAATAATTGTTAGATGCGTCACTTCATGCTCGTAATTTTAGAAACAAACCCCCAACCCCCACCCACCCCTAATGCACGTCCACAAATGGCAGAAGCCCGTCTCCTCCACCCTCCCACCAAGAAAAACAGGGTCCCTATTTTCTGTGACTGCAGGCTGGCTTTAGGTCATTGTGTCCGCTAATATATCAAAGAACAGCTGTCCTAAGGCTCTGTGATGACCAATCACCCTTTCCATCTGTCTCCCTTGCCCAATCTCTGCCCTATCTCACTGCTCCAGCCCTGTCTTTACCATGCAGTCCCAGCGCAGCCTCTCCCTGCGTTCTCAATGAGCATGTTGCAATTCCTCCTTTCTCTCCAAATCCCAGCCCTCTGAGATTAGTATTTAAGAACATTGGAGCTCAGGGATTTGTTGTTTTCTGTAGAGTAAACACACAAATTACAGAAAACTCAATATATTCGCAACAGCACTTTTATTTTTATGAGTAGGATACCACTAATGGCATAACGATTAAACCAAGTTATTTTGCTAATTAGCTGTGAAAGACATTGTAGCTTATTGTGTGAAATGTACCGTCTCAGGAATCCAGTGAAGCGTTGGAATCCAAATGAGCCTCACCTCCTGCTTCTTAATTGGGCCCTTAATATTTAGTGAGATGTTCTTAATGAGCTGATGGACCCTCGCAGACAGAGAGGGGGCCAGTGCTCTCTCATGGCCTTGTGTCCCTAACCTCTTCCTCTGTGGTCACACACCTTTACACACTGGGGGCTAATTAGGGCCCATTCACGCCCTCCACTAATGATGTGTGCTTTTATTCACATACACTTAAACGGCTGTGTGTTTACTCAAGAGCCTCACCGGCCCCTCAGTGCACCACTCATACCACTCGCCCCACAAAGACGTAGATGCCTGGGCGGCCCTCGACCTGCTTCTCAGGGACCTACATGAAGCAACATCTTCTCTTTTCAGAGAGCTCCATGACTAGAGCAAGTCATTCAGATGGACACTTGTACAAAACATAAAAAACAAAGGTAGAGGTAGAGGGAGAGGAGGCGGTGCAGGGTCATTCAGAGGAGAGCTATAAAATCTGCCAGACCTGTACTGTGGTGAGTGTTGTAAAAGAAAAGGTATCGCTGAAGCAGCGGGGCCCCTGCAACAAGAGTTAGGGCACTCCTGGGTTGGCGGCCTGGGACTGATTTAAGAGTCTGTTTGAAGTGCAGATTACAGATTCTTTGCACCAAATCCCTCCAGGAGTATCCATGGCCCCTGGAATCTCTCTCAGGTTACTCCTCCACTCCGGCCGCTGCCTGCCCCAGCTTGAAGCCCTCTGGACTGGCCGGACATGAGCACTGAGGCTGGACACACCAGCAACAATAACATGAACCTACAAAGCCAACTCAAACCAATCTAAACCATGTGTCATCGTGCACACATTTCCATAGACCTGTTCTGCAGGACCACAAATGCCTTCAGCAGAAGTCAGAAGTAGCACTGGGAAGTGGAAATTCCTACAAAGTGAGTTTCAACATGGACGTGAGAGTCTTCACATGTGCTGCATATATGCAAAGTGCCTCACCGTCAAACTTGTGCTGTGTAAAATCTGTGCAGTAGTTAAGTGAGAGAGTGAAATGCACATGGATGTTTGTGTGTCACTGGTCTGAGAGCAAACAGCAAAGCTCACACTGCTGTGTGCTTTAGCACACATACATATAGAGATACCCCGTACTGGACACTGCACTGGAGCAGTGGAAACAATCTGCTGAACAGAGCAAGTCTGTGTACACTGGACACATGAAAACCTGCTTTGTGCCTCACCATCATAAAAGACTTCGCATACAAAGGCCAGTACAGAGCCCAATGAAGTTTCCCATGACAGAGGAGCACTGGCTGCTCTCGAAGCATGATAACCATTTCACCAGCAGTTTGTGACATTCTTGGAGCAGTGTCCACTCTGAGGCCACAGCGAGCTGATGAGGCGAGGACACTCTGCACAAACTGTGGTTTTACAGCACAGTCGCCCAGGGGCCTAACAGCCAGCTGATTAATATTAATATGCATATATAACATATTTCTACAACATATTGTACAGTTCTAGTGCAGTATTTACAAACATGCACATACAGTATACAGTTGCTCACAGAACTTTCCTTCTGCTTCTTTATTTGACCAGTGTCTTACAGGTAGCATGAGACCTTTGACCCAAACAACAGACAAAAGTCACTATGACTGTCCACGCCGTCATGCAGAACATTAAATGGCACGCGACCAACTAGTTTAAACTTTCGCTCACATTTTTAGCACATTAGTGTAGCCATCACTAAAGAAAACCAAAGTCTCTAATCAGTAATACTTTTTAAATCAAGCGCTGTGTTTGACTCCACTCTTTTCTGTCATGCCAATAAAGCTCTTTTGAGGCTGCTTAAAGAGCTGGGAAAAGGGGGCTCTTGGGTGAAAGCCCCATGCTGACCACAAAACAATGCTGTTTGGGAGAAGCTGAGCACTGCACTCCTGAATGCAGCCTGGTGGGAGGGGGAGCCAGGACTGGACACGTCAGTTATTAGGTCAGTGCTGGGGGAAAGGGGGGAACAGCATGTGTGGTAGTAACTCTTGTTTTGGTAAAATGACACTGGCAGAACTGATGGCTTTCTGCTGCTTAAACCATCAGTGCCGCAGTGTCCCGCGCCCCTCTCTCACTGTCACCTTCCGCCTTGTGATGAAACATTCAAACCGGTTCAGGACCTGGGTTTAGCATTTCCACACCCCATCAAGAAAAATTATTCTTCTTTCACTGGGCTTGTTTTTTTCTTCTTCTAAATACTTATTTGTAAACGTTGATCAGAAAAAGTGAATTAGTAATTCACTCATCAGATAATATTGAAAACGGTTATAACATTTTTCAATATATATGATAGATTTAAGTCAAGCAAAATCTTCTTCTGCCTCTAATTTTAGGTCTCATTGATTGAAGTCTGGATAAAAGTAAAGTCCTATTTTCAGTAAAGAAATGGAAGTTGAGCACTCACTATAGGGGACAATGGGACTCAGCATTCTGTGGAGCTGGTCTCAGTTTGAAGGAACGCTGTTTGGTGAATGCCAGCTCAGGTTAGTGTCCGTCCAGCAGTAGTCCATCACTGACCAGCTCTTGCGTTGACGAAAACAAGCCTGAAGACAAAAAAGAGGAAAAAGCTGTTACAGGTTGCCGCACAATGTCCACAGAAAACACTCAAATGTCAACTAACGCTCTCAATCCACACTCTGTCTGATTGAGTTACGGACCAACTTGAGAAGCCATATCAGTGTGACCAAAACATGCACCGAAAGAAGAAGAGAAGAGTTGGGCAAATTGACACACACAAGGGGATTCATTATAGGGCAAAGTATTAAGCTGATTGTGAGGCAGTGTCCAGCCACTAAAAAGGGTTTTCTAAATCTGCCGGACAAAAAAGAACTCGTTGCATACCACTGCTCTGTGCACTGGGGCAATAAAGAGTGCATTCTTAGGAGACTAAACAGCTGCACAAGCCAAATGTAGAAAAAAATAACCAGTTTCATGCAAAGGCAAAAAATATGAAAAAGTGATTTTGAAGATAGAATTTTTCCAGCTTCAATATTTACTAACTAACCAAACTTGATTAATTAAGTGCTTGACTGATAAAAGGTCAGAATACATACAGCAGAACGTAGAAGTTTATTATGTAAAAAGTAATATTTTTTTTTCTTTTCTTTTTATTTTATTTTACCAAGATTGTTTCTATTGGCTCAATACCACTGAGAGATGTACTCCTTATGAATCAAATAAATAAATTAATACAAAATCAAAAGTTAAATTTCAAAGTGTACATATTATAAACAATAGATTTTGATGAATGAATGATGCAGAGAAGTACAGCTCAGTAATTTTAGTTGAAAGTATGCAACAATTATAATGTATTAAAAATTAAACAACATATTTATAAAAAATATGTTTATCATTTATAGATATTTATATTTATAAATAATAAATATATTTCAATATATATATTTAATATTATACTTCATCACAAATAGAGGTTACAGTGTTTCATGAAGAATTTCAATTTACATTTTCATCCATCATTATAAAATACATCTGACATTTCAATAACAGTAATTTATGGTCAGAATGACAAAAATAAGTCAACATGTCATTCAAAATCCAAGCACAACTAAACTACTAAACACATACATGCAGAGAGCTCTAAAACTGAATATTGTCTTTAAAGCAAATCACACAATATACAACAAGAGGCGCCTCACTGTAGTCCATTTCCAATCACTCATGTGCCATTCATCTGGAGGAGCAATTACGCAATAACCATGACCACTGCTGTCTCCGGGCACCAACTGAACGTCACATTCAGGATGTCCCGGCTCTCCCACTTTTGACTTTTGGCATCAACCCATCCAAAGATAGATAGATACATACTTTATCCATTCTCAGTAGGATAAGTAATAGATCTAAAACCACAAAAATACACCACTTCTTAAATACCAAGATCAATGCCTGATAATAAAGTAATGAGTACTACAAAAACAATAACAATACCTGAAACTTCTACAGCTGCAATGGCAGAGCATGATTCAGGAGGTTGTATGCTTACCGATTCATGTCTCTGTATTGTCCATCAGATCTGAAAATGCTGCTAGGATAATCCCTGGAGTAGACGTGCACTGCTCAGCTTTTTTACACATATGGGACCAGCACAAGTGGACTCCGGCAGCCCTTCTCTGTTCTGTCTCTCTCTGGTCAGTGACAACAGAGCAAGCAGCACTCAGCAGCTCACCCCTCCCCCATGCACTCTCCTCCCCATGCCCCCTCCCTTCTCTCCCTCTCTCCCTGTGGCTCTTTATGCTAAAAGTATTTAAGTAAAGAGAGAGTGGAATTAGGGGTGGACAGCAGTCAGGGGGTGGTTGGGACTGGTCATTTGAGCAGACCAGACAGGACACGGTAAAAAAGAGATGGAGGGAAATGGGACGAGTTTGAAAAATTGAAAATCGCTCTCCTCACCAAATAAATATTTGGGAAGCTGTCTTATCTTCGAGTGCTTCTTCACATGAGCGTTCTCTGTGCCTGAATGTTGTCAGACCAGAGACTAAACAATACTTTAATCAAAGTGAAACATAGAGGCATCTTCTCAATATTGCAGCACAGCTTGTTCCAATCATTGACAGCTGCTCCAAACCTTGTCAAGATCTGGTGAATAAAGCCATGAATACAACTTAGAAAGAGAAACACATATTACATATACTTCATTTAAAATATAATAGGATCATGCTGAGGTTTGTATTGCTCAAGAAAACCCTTTAACCCCCATTTAAAGTGCAGAACAGGATAGGCAATACAGCTCACCAAAATGCCATGATTGTTCCCTAGCAACCAGAATGTAAACAATGTCTGTCTAATTACCTCCACCCTGAAGGTAAAGTGTTGGTTTGTTTGTCTGCAAACAACACTCAAAAAGTTATGGGAGGATTTGCACAACAGTTTTAGAAATGTACAATGGCCCAGTGAACATTTTGAAGGTGATCAGAATCACAATCATCCGCTTTATTTTAAAGGATTAAAACTGCACCTCTTTCGGCAGAGGTCTGCACTCTACAAAAGTTATTCTAGTTTAAACACTAGTTTCTTTGTTTGTTGAGATTTATTATGATAATAATAATAATATTATTAATATTTTGTAATGTAATGCACTTTACTACGCGTCTATTCATAATCCATTTGGCACTAGTAACCACCTTAATTTAGGAGGAGGGTTGTCCAGCTTCTTGACCAACACCCTATGAATTCTTCTCCTCAGGGATGGTCCCAAAGTGCCTACTAGTCAGACAACTGAATTAGTAAGATGTTTTTGAAACATGTTTCTGCTGCGAGAGGCCGTGTTTATGCAGATCAATAACCCCCTCAGAACGTCAGTACGACTACCTGACAGGAACTGACAATGAATCCACATTGTTGCTCAGAGACTTGTTGCATATTGTTTATTATGAATATGTGCTTCTTGGATCTGTCACTGAAATTACATCAGACAAAATGTCTCCAGCTTTTGGCCAATAAGATTTGTTCAATATTGTCATAAGTCTAAAGCTATATAAGTCTTATGAGACGTATGAGGTGGACCTATATGAGCTGCAGTAGAGATGGTTACAGATGCAACATTTGTGGGATGACAAGGCCATGTGCACGCATCACACACGTAAAGAAAGACACTGTGTATGGGGAAAAAGCACTGCCACTGTCATGATTAAGAATTCCAAAAGACAACACAAAATAAATAATGCCTTGTCTTGTCTTGTCTTGTCTTGTTTCCATAAAATGCACAAATTCTATCTAAATTGGTCAAGATCAGGGCTCAGGCTATTTGATCAGTCTTACTTACAAAGGACAAGGACTCCAACCGTACAAATTAGTTACAAAGTGGCTTAATGACAATAAAATACATGTTTTGGAGTGGTCAATGCAAAAGTCCTGATTGCAATCCCTTAAACAAATGGTCAGATCTCAAAAGGTATGAGTTAATGAGGTGACCAAGAAACCTGGCTCTGTTACACAAGTTCTGTTCAGAGGAATGAGCCATCATTTCAGCCAACTATTGAGAAGCTCCTGGAAGGATTTTACCCAACTTAGTTAGATTTGGTAACACTACTAAATTCTACAGGCAAATCTACCAAATACTCTCAATATTGAGACAATAAGCAAATATAAAGGATTTTGGTAAAAAATAACGCACCAAAAGGGAGATGGTTTGTTAGAACTTTAGACACAGAGAAAAATACATATGATTATGATCATATGTTTATGATTATAACAATAATAGAACATTCTCAGGGCACTGCATTGACAGATCCCTCATATTCAGTTGTTTCCGTCACTAGTTTGGGATCCGCATGGACTTGGTCAGGTGCTGCTCCAGTTTCCACGCACAGCTGTCAGTCTGTTTTTAGCTGCACACTGAGGCCACATGGTCCAGTCATCTGCTCGTGTTGCACGGAGCCTGTGCCTCCGTCAAACGTCTTGTGGAGCTGACCCACCAGCCACACTCTGCACTCTCCGTGTTGCGAGGACAGTGTCTGGAAATAGACAAGGACTTGGTGGTCATATGTTTGGAGTCCAGAGCATCCCATGTACTTAATTGACATCCCAGCTAAAATACATGCATTTTCATTTTCAAAAGAAAAAAAAATTAAAATATATACTGTAGTTACATTTATTTTACAATATTCAAGCTAAATGTCTACTCATTTTAATGACATGGATCTAAATTTAGGATATAGTTAGCAACAATCTAAATGTAATGTAAACTCAGTTTGTCAAAGAGCTCACCTTGAAAAATGGAACTTGGAAGAAAGGATCTCGGAGACATGTTCGTCTTTGTAAGACACGTGGGCTGAGCTATTTTTGGGGATGCCCCAGTGGTCAGCAACATGGCTTAAAATGGAATGTGGGGCAATATAAATCCATTGGAGGAAACTGTGTGACTCATTAGAGCGGTTACAAAACTTATAGAGCAGCGTCCCAGTCCAGGAGCACAATTAGACTCCTTAATGTTTCCCTTAATATGGGATCCTCAATAGATTTGCTAATGATGTCTCTGTGGGGGTTAGCTCAGGGTATGCTTGAGTAGGGATGTTGAAAGCAGACAACTCTGGCGGGTTCTCTATCACTCTATTGCCTTATTAGTGCTGAGGCAGCAGAGTGTGGACACAGGCAGCCTGCTGAGCCCAGCACTACTGCAGCACAAAGTCTTTGGGCCCCGGGACATGAAACAAGCCAAAAAGTGGTGAAAAACCGACCAACATAGGCAGCGTCTGACAAGATGTAGCCTGTACACAACACGTCTACAGAGTACAGCAGAGCCGCCTGTCCCATGAGTCAGTGTGACAGGTGTCAAAGAGTCCGCCCCACACTCACACACATTAAGATATTTGTGCATGTTTGACAGCGGGGGCTCCCCTGAGCTCTCACACTTGTTCCAGTAGAGCTGGGTTAGTGTGAGGTGCAGAGGTGCTTGTGCAGGAGGTTAACTCACTGACTGCCAGGCATTTTCAGATTTGAGAAGTGCATTCTGCCAGCAATTTCAGGTGATTTGACCCAACTTTGAAGTGCCACAGAATATTCATTTTTTAGACGATGTAAACACCAAGGGCACCAAATTAAAGATTCACCTCTCTGCTTTACTCTGAAAAAAACAGTTTGTTTCTACCTCTTACCGTTCTTGCGTTATTCGCCATAGAACAAAGCATACTTTCACCCATAACACCTGGTCTGAGCAAGAAACAGAGAAAACGAGCTGTATGTAAACAGGAACATATCAAGCAGAAAAGAGACTTTTAGATGCATTTTTGCTGCTTTAGTGACAACTCAAAACATCTCCACACTTGTTCCATTACAAAAATTATAAAAACATGACTCTGAAATAATACTTTTGATGGCAAATTGTTGGCAATTTATTCACAGATACACACAAATTTAACTTTCTTCTATACCATCAACCAAAACGTCAAACAACAACAACACAAAGATCAATAAAACTATAGATGTATAAAATAGAATGAAGCATGTGAATTTGAGTGTGTGTGTGTGAATGTCAGTGTGCGAGTGAGTGAGTGTCTGTGTGAGTGTGTGTCAGTGTGTGTGACTGTCAGTGTGCGAGTGAGTGTCTGTGAGTGAGTGTCTGTGTGTGTGAATGTCAGTGTGTGAATGTCAGTGTGCGAGTGAGTGTCTGTGTGCGTGAGTGAGTGAGTGAGTGCGTGTGAGTGTTTGTGTGTGTGTCCGATAAATCATGATCAGGTTTGCTGAACGAATCCGAGGCATCAGTAACAACAGCAGCTGATACGCTGCGAGAGGCGGAAGGTGTGTCTCTGCTCTTGCTCCGCGCAAATGTAGCTGCAGAGACGGACCTCCACCGGGGTCTCCACTCTCTCCCCTCTCGACCTCACTCACTGATCCGCGAGTCAATCTCTGAAGCAGTGTCAGCTGCTTATAATTAATAGTTACCTAATGTAACTTAAGTTCTACGAATAGGTGCGTAGTCCCTTAGGACTTCGCTAGTGGGATATCACGTGACCCCCAGGTCACAGACGCCAGAGAGATCAAAATAATTTGCTCCAATCACCAGCCACCTTCCTCTATAAATGCCCCTGCACAAGGCCGCACCCCCTCTTGAACTCTGCCAAGCCGGGCTGGCCTGATGGGCTCGTAGCTAAGGGACTACGCACCTATTCGTAGAACTTAAGTTACATTAGGTAACTATTAATTCTACGTCATGGTGCTACGTCCCTTAGGACTTCGCTAGTGGGACACAACGCGGAGGCCGTAGGAACATGTACTCCCAGCAGGCCAGCGAAGGGTGATTGGAGCTCCGCCCGAGCAAGACCCTCACACCGTGAGAGGACTCAGGGCAGAAGAAACAAAGCGTGTTACCGGGCCACTCCTACCAAGGACGCCCCCACGTAACACCAATCGTAGGTCAACCGTAGTCACAGGACGCCTCTCCCAAGAGCTCCTGATGTAGACTACCAGACCGATCAAACACACATATATGTACCGCACCTGTAGGATGCCTCTCCCAAGAGCTCCTGCACCAGGGCGGAAAAATAGACCGAAGGCCCACTCCTCAGGGGAGGGACCCAACGGTCCAACTCAATCCGCTGCACTCAGCACGGAATGGGCCACCGACCGGTCCGACACATCCGAAAGATAAGACCGGACGAAAGAGGAGGACGACGCCCAAGAAGCCGCACGGCAAACGTCCTCGACCGACGCCCCCCTGAGAAGGGCCGTAGAGGCCGCCATCCCACGCGTGGAATGCGACCTGAAACCCACCGGGGGGGCCAGGCCCTGCGCCTGATACGCCCGTCGCACCGCCGTGGCGACCCAATGCGCCAGCCGCTGAGCCGACAGCGGGGCGCCCCTGTTCTTGGGGCCCAGACACACAAACAGCTGATCACCCGACCTGAATGACGACGTCATGGCCAGGTAATGCCTCAGCATTCTGATAGGACACAGAAGGTGCTGCCGCTCCTCCTCGGGGGAGGCATGCGGCGGCGGGTGGAAAGCCCTAATCCTGATCACTCTCGACCTAAAGGCCGACGTGATGACCTTGGGGAGAAAAGCCGGATTGGGCCACAACTCCACCATGCCGTCGTCCTCTCCAAAGGACAGGCACGACGCATGGACTGAGAGCGCACACAAATCGCCCGCCCTTTTTGCAGACGCCAACGCCAGCAAGAGGGCCGTCTTAAAAGCGATACAATCGGGACTCGCCTCCGCCGCCGGTTCAAAAGGCGAACCCGACAGCCCCCTAAGGACCACCCTGAGGTCCCAAACCGGAGGCGTTCTCTGGAGCGGGGGCCTCCTCCTGCGCGCCCCCCGCAGAAAACGTTTAATCAACGGGTGAGAGCGGGCTGTGAACCCCCCGAACCCGTCGTGACCTGAAGTAATGGCTGCCGCAAACACCGCCAAGGTAGCGACAGCCCTCCCCTTGTCGAAAAGCTCCTGTAGGAATCCCAGGACCCCCTCCAGCGGGCAAAACCTGGGATCCCAGGAACGGGAATCGCACCAGGCACTGAATAGCCTCCACCTCGTGGCGTAGGCCCTCACGGTGGACGGCGCCCTCGCTCCCTGAATTGTCTCCACCACCGCAGGGGGAAGACCCAGATCTACGAGGCTCCGCCTCTCAACCTCCAAACCCAGAGCCTGCGGCCGATTATCGGACGTGAAAACAGGGCTCCTGCCCCCTGGACTAGAGCCCCCGGCTCGTCCGGGAGGGCCCAGGGCTCCATCACCGCCATGCCCCTCAGGAAGGGGAACCACCGGGCATGCGGGCTGTCCGGAGCCACCAGAATCACCGACCTCCTCTCCTGTTCGATCCTCCGCAGTAGGACCGGCAGGAGACGCACCGGTGGAAAAGCGTACAACAGGCCGCCTGGCCATGGGTAATGAGCCAGAGCGTCCACGCCTAAAGGCGGCTCGTCCGCGGCCCTTAAGGCGAACCAGGACGGGCACTGTGCGTTCTCTGCACTGGCGAAAAGGTCGACTACTGGACGACCGAACCTCCGCCAGATCTCCGCGGCTACCCGTGGGGCCAGGCCCCACTCGTCCTGGAGTGGGCCCCCCCTGGACATCCTGTCGGCTCCCACGTTCCGGACCCCCGGGACGTGGCGCGCCCTGAGAGACAGGAGGTGAAGCGCCGCCCACAGCAGCGTCACCGTCGCCATGCGATGGAGAGCGGGGGACCTGGTGCCCCCCTGCCTGTTCAGATAGGAGACCACTGTGGTGTTGTCTGAGCGCACCATCACGTGTCTCCCCTGCAGCTGAGGGGCAAAGTGCAGCCAGTACTCTGTGCACTGCCTCCATCTCCAGCAGGTTGATGTGACGGGCTGAGTCCGACCAGCAGCCTCCTACAGAGCTCTGGCCGAGGACCCCGCCCCATCCTTCGAGCGACGCGTCCGTGAACACCTCGACGTGAGACACCGCGCAGGCCAGAGTCACTCCGTCCCGCAGTAGACCCGGAGTGAGCCAGAACCTGATGTCCGATGCTGCCCCTTGGGGAACCCAGATCAGCCTCCCCCCGTCCCGGGAGGGGTGAAGCCTGAGGCGCGAGAACCACCTCTGAAAATTTCTCATGTGGAGCAGGCCTAGCCGCACCACAGCATGAGCCGCTGCCATCATCCCCAGCAGGGACCTGAGGCGCCGAGCGGGAACTCTGGGGCCCGCCAGAACCTCCCGGGCCAGACGGGTAATATTCGTCCGTCTGTCCACGGACAATGCAGCACGGAATATCACAGAGTCTAGCTGCAGACCGAGGTAAATCATGCGTTGGGCTGGCTGCAGCTTGCTCTTCTCCCTGTTCACCACAAAGCCCAGACGCTGTATGTGGGACAAGACCCATTGCGTGTGGCTCACGGCCACTTCCCTGGATGGGGCCAGTATTAACCAATCGTCTATATAGGTCAATATTCTTACCCCGGCACGTCTGATCGGCTCCAGAGCCGCTTCCACACATTTGGAAAAAGTGCGAGGCGCGAGAGCGTACCCGAAAGGGAGACGGCAGTACTCGTAATTCCTCTCTCCCACTGCGAAGCGCAGAAATCTCCTGTGTTCTGGCACTATGGGTACGTGGAAGTATGCGTCTGTCAGGTCTATGGATGTCATCCAGTCTCCTTCCCTGACACACTCGAGGAGCTGCCTTGTGGACAGCATCCGAAACTGCCGTTTGGAAATGCACTCGTTTAACACGCGCAGATCCAGAATGGGACGCACCCCGCCTGATTTCTTTGGCACCAGAAAGTAAGGGGAGTACAGCCCCCTGGTGGCGTCCTGGGGTCTACCTCCACTGCTGCGCCTCGACTCAGCAGGGAGGAGACCTCTGCTTCCAGTGCCTCTGTCGATCCCCGTACCTGAGAGCGTACTGCCCGTACGCCTCGGAATGGTGGTGGCTTTCGGAAAAATTGCAGAGCGTAACCTCTGCGCAGAGTTTTCTCCAGCCAAACATCTGACAGTAAGCCCTGCTCCTTCCAGATGTCGTAGAAATCTGTGAGGGGCGGAACGGGAGCTGGAACACGAGACGTCATGGCCCCGCCCCCTCCTGGTGTTCCTAGCAGGGAGGGGGGGTGGCTGAAAGGGCCGGGGGGGCCCCTGCGTCACACCGTGAGCGCCGAGGGCGGTCACGTGTTCTGCAGGTCCGACGTCATAAGTACGGGACTGCTCACCACACGTGACCCGGCTGCTGCTGCGCCCCCCCCTGGCTCTTGCCTCATGGAGGGGGGGGCGAGCCCCTGCATCGGGAAACCCCGTGTTAGCATTGTAGCTCTGCTCATCACGCGTGACACGGCTGCTGCGCCCCCCCTTGGCTCTTGCCTCATGGAGGGGGGGAAGAGCCCCTGGATTAGGAAACCCCGTGTTAGCAATGTAGCTCTGCTCATCACGCGTGACACGGCTGCTGCGCCCCCCCTTGGCTCTTGCCTCATGGAGGGGGGGGAGAGCCCCTGGATTGGGAAACCCCGTGTTAGCCTTGTAGCTCAGAGATGCTAACACGCTAGCGCCCGGAGCACACACATTAGCACTTATCAGATCCCTCCGCCTGCCCTCTCTCCGGGAGGGCAAAACATGAACCCGTGAATCGGAGCTCGTGGTCTGCACAGCGCGCTGCACGCCCTTCTCTGGGGGCTGCAGGCCTGGCGGAGCCACGTTATATGCTCGAGAAGTAACACAAACAGAATTCAAATCATTTGACATGTTACATACCCCCAAATGAGACTCAGACAGCGAGTACTGGTGAAATGCCGGACGGCCTTTATTGAAAGAGTTTTTACCACCCCGACCTCCTCTACCGTAGGGAGGCCGTCGATGGGTGTGTTGGTCCCGCGAACCTCCCGTGTGCCTGTCTGGGCCCGGGGGTCTCGCCGCTGGGGAACGATGGACCACGGAGCGTGGATATGGTCCGGGGCGCTTGCCAGGCGAGCGCTCCCTGCCTCTGTCTCGGCTCCGCGCTGGTGGGCGGGCCTCGCGTCTCGTAGCTAGGTGTTTTGCCAGGCTAGCCGAGTCCTTAGCCGCGCTGTCCAGCCTCGTCATCAGCGTCTGCATCTCCGGACCGAAGAGCGACGTCTGGGAGATGGGCAGGTCCAGCAGCTGCCTCTTCTCCGCCTCTCTGAGGTTCACCGCCCCCAGCCAGAGGTGTCTGGCCCCGACCTGGGCTGCTGCCATAGAGCGGCCGCCATCGACAGCTAGCGCTTGGCACATGCGCAAGATCGCTGCTGAAGTGGTCCTCGCCTGGGCTAAGGTGTCTCCACTGAGTGCCTGGTCAGAGGAGAGAGACCTATCCAGGGCCCCGGTGATGAAAGCCATGTTGTTCGCCACCGCGACGACCTGAGCCGCATTGGCGTAACATCTGTCATGCATAGCCAGAGACATCCTATCCCGCTCGGAGGGAAGGAGAGGTCTGGTGCTGGGCCACACGGATGAGGAGGGGTGCAGGGCCGCCCGAACCGAGTCCTCGATGTCCGGGACCCCGCCTGTCCAGGACCAGTCCTGCACGTTGCAGTACATGCCATACCCCAAAGCGGGCCTCTTGGCCGCTAGGGGTTTTGGCCACTCACGTGTCGCGTAATGGACGATCGGGTCCATACGCGGGCACAACGTGGGCTGGGCTCTCCTCCTCCCTCGAGGGGCTGCGTACCCAGAGGTGAAGTCCTCCACCCTCTGGTTCGGTTGCGGTGGCAGGGGGGCATCCATGATGGCCGCCGCCGTGGCGTAGAGCCCAGGCATGTGGTCCAGCGGGAAGCGGTCCGGCTCCGGGTTGGACACCACCTCGTCCAGCGTGAGGAGAGAGCCGACCTCCGACACCTCTCCGTCCTCGCAGTCACCCCACTCCGCGGGCACAGGTGGAATGTCGAGGGGGGCCCAGTCAATCTCAGACTCCTCGTCCTTAGAGGAGTCCGGACGGGGCGCTGAAGCGGCGAAGAACGCGCGCCTGCGTTCACTCTCCTCCCTGGGGAGAGCGACACACGAGGCGCAGGTGGCGCTCAACGCCGCATGGCCCGCACCCAGGCACATGAAGCAGCTGGAGTGCTGGTCCTTGCGTTGGAGCTTGCCCCGACAGGTCGAGCAACGACGACGTCCGACGCCGGATGGCGAAGGGGAACTCGGACGTGCATCAGAAGACATCTTTCTTTCTCAGGTAACGAATGTAGATCTCAAACGGCGCCAGAGTGAAAGAGGGGGTGCGGCCTTGTGCAGGGGCATTTATAGAGGAAGGTGGCTGGTGATTGGAGCAAATTATTTTGATCTCTCTGGCGTCTGTGACCTGGGGGTCACGTGATATCCCACTAGCGAAGTCCTAAGGGACGTAGCACCATGACGTAGAACTATTCTTTTTCGCCATCACTCTTGCTATACTATTGCTAAACTAGATCGTCTCAATGCTACAGCAGCACGCTCTGCTACAGCAGCACGCTGTCCAAAGACCCCACACTCCTCCTCCTCCTCTCCACTGACTTATGACCTCTCCTGTGGTGCAATACTGCATCCTACTGGTGGTGATTTATCATTACAGGTACATTTGCACTATATATCAGTGTTGTGGGTCATTAACAAGGTGCGCCAGACATTACTGTAGCCTCCCGTGTAATAACACGAAAAACTCGTCAAACTCGTCATGGGCAGTGAGCGTTACTATTCAACATGACGAGTTTTGTCGTCATGGGCAGTGAATGAGTTAATGGAGAGATACTGTATGACTTAAGACAAAAGCCCTGTGTCAGGCTGAAAATGCCTTATGAGGTCAACACGCCTCTGCTTGACCTGGGACAGTGGACCATGTCAACCCAACACCTACATTCAGCAGGTTGTTTGGCCGGTGAGCAGCCGTGTTAGTGGGTCAGCTGCTTTTACAGAGGAAAACTGATGAATCAGGATCATTTTTAATTTAGCCAAATGAGATCTGCATGAAGAGCAGCCCCAGTGTGATTAGCTAAGCAAAAGTCGCCCTCCTCTGAAGGACAGATTTTAGGACCTGTAGTCTTGTACAAGAGGAACCCTTGAAAAATAGCAGTGTAAAGGGGAAATAAAATATTAGATTGGTGTTCAAGTTTACAGTTTAGATATTCTATATATATTTACAACATGGCACAGAATTGATTGCACCTTATTTTATTTATACTTTGTCATACAACTGCACTTCTAAATGGACTGTGTGGATAAAAACTAAACCTCACTTTTGTGGATGATATCATTGGCACACTGACTGCAGCACTTATGCTATTTAATAATTTATAAACAAAACATTTCTCTCACATTGCATAGGCCTCAAAGTATGTGGCTGTGAAAAGTTAAAAGGACAGAGTGGACTAAAGGTTCGGCCTCGAGAGACTAATTGTTTCCAGAAGTGTTTTGAAACAAGGAATTACTAAAGGAACTCACAGATCTAAACTTGCTTAGAAAGAGGCAGAGAACAAAATCTGTTTCCTAAATACACATTACAAGTAATTTCCTGTTAGTAACAGTTTCATCGTTCGGCAAAGAACATGAGGAAACAACACTCCAGAAATACTCCAGGAATATGGGCCTTTTTATCACCGCTGAAGTGTCAATGGGAGTGTGAGTGGTGATAATCAGTTCCAGCTTTATCGTATGACCACTAACAGAGAGGCAAAAAGGCACCTTGTTGGGTAAGACATTATAATAAAACAGATTAGATGAACTGCTTTATGACCTATGTTTACTCGTCATATATACAAATAATAAATGTAATATGTGCTTTAGTGCATACCTTCTGATAGTAATATGTAGGAATAGACTAAGCCAAGCTGCCTTGGGCATTACGCCCCAGTTAGAGGCAGACAAAGTCTGGATAATGAAACAAGAAACAAAGATGTTGTGGCGCTGGCCCCACCTTGGATAGTTTGGCTCTAGATGAACCCTTCTGTGGGCTCATCACCTGCAGAGGGTGGGGCAACTTTTCCTATAAAGTCTTTTCTATTATGTGGGTTAAAAAAGTGAAAAAGAGAGGACCACCTTCACTCAGGCAATATTGTCTAAGAAGATGAAGACAACATGTCTCAACATTTTACTCAGAAAAACTATGTTGGGGAAAACAATATATGTATTATGTATGCAGAAAAAGTGACATACCCAGCTTTTATTAAGTGGAGGTGTGAGATTACAGGGCAAGTATGAAATGGAAGTAGAGGTGCAGTTGCCCTGAGGAGAAGAACCCGCAGTGAGAGGTGGAGGAAGGGCAGAAGTGTGCTGAAGGGGGGTGGCTGGTCACAGGGATTATTAGTGGGAGGTTCAGCTGTTTATTATTCCAATTCTATCTCTAACAGCTGAAAATTGGAGAATTAGGCGTCCGCCCTGAGCAGCCCCAGGGATCAATGAGGGGAGGTTAAACCCTGTGGCACGGCTCCACGCTCTGCCAACGCGGCCAAAGCCCTGACTCAGCACCGACGCAGAGGTCACTCACAAAACTCACCAGACACATCACATTTACCGCTCGCCACTGACAAGACACTCACGCTCTTCACGCCACTGCAGCACAACGCTTTGGTCGGCAAAGGACGGGGTGTGGTCAGGCTCTGGAGAAACGTGACAAGACAATTACGTTTGTAAAGGACCGAATACTTTTCAGATCTTAGACATAAATAAGGGTTAACCCTTTAGGCGGCAAAGTGGCTACTTCCTTATAATGGTTTCCTTATTTTCTCTTAAATATTTGTAAATGTTTTATTCATATAACTAAGTATTTTTATAGTCTGTAGTCTTTTTAATGTTTCAAGGGACCACCTTTAATTTGTTTACATACCATTTCTGACAAAACAAAAAATTATAATGCTGTGTACTTAATCAAGGAATGTCATTTTATTGCCATTCGATATATTTTGGAGTACTATGCTGTTTTAGAAAGTCTGCATAATGTTCCACTTCAGTATTAGTCCTTATTCAAAAAGATCTGTATAAGATCTTCAGACATAAATGCTCTAACTGGCAGGGATTTTTGCTATGTTTTGCTAAATTTCTCAGTAGGAGGAAAATATAATTTTGTAGAATCTTTATGGAATATACAGAATGAATAAATACTGTTTAATCCCAAATCAAAGTAAAACATCTTTTTTCTAATATAAACTAAAATCCTTTGACACTTTCCTTTTCCCCTTCAATCCCACCTTTTTATGTTTCATTAGCCACAAACAGTGTGTGACCAAAGAGGAATTTTAAATCAGGATAGTGTTCTTGCTGTCAGTGTTTTTTGGCTAATTTACTTAATCAATTTAATTCCTTGATTAACATACATGGTTTACTAATCTTAAGTTGTTTCTGACAATTCAGAAGACATTACTCATATTTAGTTGTATCTATTAATTTAAATTAGGACAGCGCCTGAATGATGATGATTTAAATTTCCATTTTGATTATTTTTCAGTTAATCTTGCAGCCCATAGTGGCACCTCTGCGTTTGCCCCCTCGGTGACTTCTTTCCGTCTGTAATTGCCGGTGTGAAAGTGTGTGCGGTGGTCACGTCCGCACAAGATGTTAATCTGAAGTAGGACATGTGACACAGGGACCTGAGAAACATGAACTTCAGCAGCATGTGAGCAAGAAGCCTAAAGACAGCCCCATGAACATATGGAGGTCAGACTGCAGAGTTTAAATAGGTTGCGAAATACAACAGATACTAAAAAGGAGCTGAGACTTACCAATGCAGTCTTCAGGCACACAAAACTCAAAACCATAACACAAGTTCTTCATTATGATATGGACTGAAGTCTACAGTTAGAGTATGTTTCACAGCAAGAAGGTCCTGGGTTTGATTCCACCTCCAGGCCATTCTGTGAGGAGTTTGTTCTGCCCTTCACTGCATAGGTTTCCTACGGGGGCTCCGGTTTACCCTACCACTAAAAAAAAGCATGTACAATAGGTATGAATGTAATGAGTGAGGAGTGAATGGATGGAGTTGGTTGGGGGCTTTGATTAGGAGCCAATGAGTGTTCGGCGTCTCGCTTCCGTCATCACCGTGTGTGGAGAGAATGCAAAAAAAATCTCTGAACATTGCAAAGCACTTTGGGTGACCTTGGTCTGTAAAATGCCCTATATAAATAAACATTACTTACTAACTTACTAATAGTTTTCTTAATAGCAGTTAAAGTGTTGAATTAAGACCAGGAGATAACATATTTTAGAGACACGTAAATTATGTGTACATTATAAACCTTATCAGACTCTGCAAATAAAGGAATGCTGATCAAAAATGATAAACGGATGCGTCTTTTAATGAAATAAATGATGACATGCATTTATGCACCGTGAAAAGCTGGAAAGGACAAGTTATATAATTTTCAAATATGTAGCGTGCCATAAAGCAAACTTGCAAAGGAATTTTGTGAGGTTGTGTTAATGACAGTGAATTGTCTGAATTGTCACTACATATTAACAATTGACTTCATATGGTACTATTCATTATCTCCACACACAATTGTGGTAAACTACTGTTGCCATTAGCCATTGGCTAAAGGCCACATTGTTGAAGTTTTTGTGGCCAAAGGCACAATGACAGTTTGGCACTTCACAGCTGCAGCCACCCCACTGTAGCAGTTCAAGGTCTCCCATCACAGTACTACCCAGGATTTGCCATGCTTAGCTTCAGGGATCTAGATGGACGTATCCATTATAAAATGTATGGAATACCAAAACAACCAAATTTCCTTCCCCATCTCTATTTTAGTCTCTATTATTAGAGCTGTTATTTAAACACCTCCCAAATGAAATGAGTCATATGTGCCTCATCACGGCCCAGGCATGTGAGAAGGAAAAGCCACTCACTTATGGCTCAATCGCAAGCAGCTATTGATGTTGTTGAGGTAGAGAAGACTTCTCCTGCATTGACAGGAAATTGATCTGATTTTTGAAAAGACGTTGTAAAACGAAGCCAAAGGAAAGATCAATATTTGTTAAATGCATGCAAAAAAGAACCGGGAAATGCACAGGAAAACAATACATTCTAATCTAACAATATTATTAGGTGCAGCTATAACATATAAACTATAACAAGGAATATGAAAAGAAAAACAATGATGTATGAAGATGATAGCTGGGTTAAAACATCAGCACCAATAATGTACAACAATCAGACAATTGCCTGTAAGTATCGTTTCCAAACAAGGCAACACCCAAGTATTTTTAGTTGGTCCTTGTTGTGTAGCATAGATGTGTAGTACAACCTTTGATATATGTTATGATAAATGTTGTATTGCAGAAACAAGAAAATCAATACTGATATTTTGTCCCTGTCCATTCTTGTATAACGAAGCCCAGCTAAGGAGCCTGGGTTGTAGCCCAGCTCCCAATGCGCACAGAAAGGGAATTAGTTTCCCCTTACATGATTGTCACAGACTCCAATGGTTCTTGTTGGTCCATTGGTCCCTCCATTTTCCCCTCTATCAACAGAGATGGGTGGGGATCTAATAGCTATTCTCCACTCTTTAATAAACCTTTTGGACTGGGGTCGTGCTTGAGTCCAGTGTTGAAGGAAACAGCCAACCGCACGGTCCACTTCTCCCCGGGGAGTCCTTTCTCAAATGTCCATCCCGTTGGAGAGGACCTGGACAAAGCAGGAGGCCGGTGAAAGCTGCCTGTTGTCCACCTAATCCCAGCTATGCCCTGTCGCCGTTGACAACGCAAGGCTGAACAATGGCCTCTTTCAGGAGTTGCTTTCTTCACTGACACACTGACAGAGCAACAATGGATGAAGACACGTTAGGAATGAAAACCTTGTCCGTAATCGCGCATGCACTTTCTTTACAAACTATACATAAATGAAAGCAGCGTCTGTAAATGACTGACTGCAATAAATAAGAGTAGGTGAACGTGCTGCATCAGAGAGATGGCAGCACATTCCTATTTCCACAGTGATGATTGCAATAAACAGAGGATAGGCAGGCCGGAATGAGGTCCATTCTGTGCGCTGGTATAAAATGATTCCTCGTCTTTCAGATCAGCTTTTCTCACCTTGCTCCTTGCCATCGCATTGAGCGCATTTGCTGACCAATAGAAAAGGAAGATGAATGCTTCCATTTGAGATGCCAAGGCCCCTTCTCTCATCTTCTTCGATCCAGATTCCACATTAAACTTGTAATAGCATACGACCTGCAAGGCACAATTCTTATTCAGGTGGGCCATGTTATATGAATGAGTTTTGGTGAAATTCCAATATTTATGCACATACATTTGCTTTTTGCCCCTTTTTTCATCATTGCATCTACTTTTGTGCAAAAGGAGGAGCAGCTGTCATTTCGAACATCAAATTACATTCTGGATTACGCAAATAAAACGCGTCAGGCAGCCATAGCGCACACCCTGGACACTGTCTAGCCTGTAATAAGCATCTACCAGCAGCGAACTGACCAGCTGGCTGAGTTACTTCTACAGTTGTGGGGCAGGTCATCTATTAGAGGCGGAACTAGGCAGTGGCAGTTTGGCTTATACCCAGGCGGGCCAGAGAAGAGCAGGCCATCTCTGAAGGACACGTTCCCTCCTCTCCATACTCTAATTCAATCGCTCTGACAGGCTCACGCTGTCTCGGTGCCTGCCAGCCCAGTAATCTCTGGGTAATTGAGTTCCCAATCAGCCAACCATCAATAATGCATCTGAATCCGTGAGGAAACACACAGCTTTTTCCAACCAGAACAACACTACAAGAGTGAGTCCAAAACCACCCAAGAGTGGACTAAGCCAAGACCAACAAAAGTTTGTACAGCAAAAGCAAATTCCCATAAACAATTTGGATCTATGATCATTGCTTATTATAGATAATTTTGTTACATGTACAAATCAGTTAGTACAACATTTTGATAATTTTTACCTAGTTTATTACTTTAATACTGATCTTTCTCTCAGGCAAACTTTTACTGAAATCCGTTCTTATAATTTTGTTTACATTTTGTTACAGCTAAAGATATATACTACTATACTTTGAGCATACATAAACATAGACTGTGAATATGCTAATTATTTATTAGATATTGTTCTGATAATGTTAAAACAAAGTTGAGTAACTTTACCAAGAACAAGTTTGGAAACAATCAATAATTTACTTTGATGTAAAATATAGTATAAAAAATACAAAACTATACTTTTCATACAGCAAAACATAAAACAAACAAGTTAATTTTGAAAAATATAGTTGGAAATTTTACAAAATATGTATGTATGCAAATTAGATAATGCATAAATAATAATCAATAATGCTCCTGTGGACTCACCACCTGCAGGAGGATCAGTGAGGGGATGGTGCTATATGAATTGGGTGCAGCTCTGACAGCGGCCCCCCCGACCCAGAAACGGATGGGGAAGGGGAAGAAAATGGATGGATGGATAAATAATCATCATTAAAAAATGTTGATGGTTTTTGTGTCACACAGGACCCTTCCTGGGAGATGTTGTGGGCATGTATCACCAAGAGGGAGCCCAGGACAAGACCCAGGACACGCTGGAGGGACTGTGTCTCTCAGCTGGTCTGGGACCGCCTCAGGATTCGCCCGGAAGAGCTGGAGGACGAGTGCATGGAGAGAGAACTTTCTGCTCAGACTGGTGTCGTTGTGACCCAGCAACAGATAAGGCAGGAGAAAATGGTTGGATGGATAGATTTTAAAGATACAAAAAATATATATAATAGATAATATTTATAAATTGTTTTAAGGGTATATATTTATCAGTGGCCGATTTAAGAAAGAGGATGTTGTATGAAGTAGCACCAAGACTCCTGGCTGTGTGTGAGTGATGTGTGAGTGAGAGAATGAAGTGGTGACTTCAGTGGTGTCATTATAGTCAAACATTTTTTCAGTTGTTTTGATGCCTGTTGGAATAAGAATATTAAAAAAGTGAGGTGCTTCTGTCATGTCATTTTTCACAACGTCTTATTGGAATGTCATGTAAATGTTTCTTTGATTAATTTCCCTTTAACGCATGAGGAGTAACCAGAATCTGCTCCATATCCCTCTATTGCGGATAGGTGCCAACCCATCAATTAGTGACTAAGACCATGGTCCTTCAAGGTTAAACTGTACAGCTGTCTGAATGATTTTCAATTATACAGTCAGGAAGCCCCCGACAGCTCTCTGCCTTCCACCTCCCACTCCGGGCTCCTAGGATCATTCACAAGACCCCAAGTCTACCACAGATAATTGTCTTTTTCCATCTTTGCCTTTGTATTTGTTGGACAGAAGAATTTCCATTTTCAATTTCCGATCTGAGAACACCTGCTATCCACTCGCCCGAGTTAGCAAGAAAATCTGTGAATGATAGAGATGTCTCACAATTGCTATTTGTGAAAGCGCTGTTAGAAAAATGTCTGCTATTATTTCCTGACAGGCTTAAGTGAAACAAAAAAGTGGAGTTCAATAGCCACACGTCTTGGTTAGCTCCCTGGATGGGCGCTGTGTTGTGCTGTCCCTTTACCCTTGGGTCTGCGAGATTAATGGCTCATTAAAGTTCCCATTACATTACATTAGCCTGTTCGACGAGCGCACACTGTTCACTCCCATGCAAATAAATCACATCATGAAAATATAAATCAATCTCAATAAGTGACTGTACATAATCTGTTAGATGTTAAAGACTATGACAAAGGTTTACACTGAGTAGCCGCAAATTACTGTCACTCAGAGCGAGCTGTGCTGTAATAGCTCACTGGCTACTGACACTATGGGCTAATATAAGGTTATGATGGAGACTGCTTTTGGTGAATCTATTATAGGTACAAGGTCGATTGTGCACATGGTGGAGGCGGGTCCAGGCTCAAAAATTCAATATTATCACAGCGGATGAAAGAATACAAATGCACTTTGTCTGAAATACGCGAAACGAATCCATAACTCTTGACATAATAAGAAATGGAGCCCAGGAATACAGAGGTACAAAAGGTACTGAGTGTTAACTAAAGTTAACTTATACAACTTTACTTTACAACCCATACATATTTTGTTAATGATGTCCTTGTGTTTTCCCCCACCTGCTGGTGCTCAGAGTCAGGACTAAATACGGAGAGCTTTTCAGATACCGTATACACCTGAAATCTTGAACAGTCTTCCTGAAAATGTGAGACAGGTTGCAACTGTCAATGTTCAAATGTGAAGTTATCTTTATTGTTTGCATTATGATCTAGATCTGTCTTTCTTGTTACGTAAATCAATTCAATTGTCTTGGCTTTTATCAAGTAAAAGTAGTCTCTGTGCCTTTAATCAAAGACTGAAACTGAGGGCAGAAAAAGGTGGTTTGCTGCAGCTTGGAAACCCATCCACACTGTAGGTGTGGTGCTCCCAGCTGGAGGTTAATTTAATTCGCGGCTGCTCCATTTTGAGGCTGCTGTCAGGCGCAGGTCTGCTGTGTGACATTGTGAGGGAAAGGTAATTACATTTTGGCCCAGTCCGGCGACTCAGCGTCTATTCAGGGGTGCAGCCTGTGCCCTCCTCCTATAGACCACAGCCACCAGAGGAATGTCCTGCAGACAACTAAGGAACACAACAAATACTGCACTTCTACTGGACTGTTTTGTGGAACAAAGCATGTGAGAAACAATATTTAAGGTCACACACTACAGGGAAAACCTTTTTCACCTTTTAAATGTTTGTTTTTCTCGGTTTGAGTCCTCAACAAATGTTTTACATAAAAGTAGACGAATGAAAGAAGAATGGAGCGTGAAATTTACAGATGACTCGGTGAAGCTTGTGCAGTGATGCGCTGTATCAGACTCGACGGTGAAGAGAGAGCAGAGTCCTAAACCAAAGGTCTCTATTTACCAGTTAATCTACATTCTCACCTTCACCTATGTCCATGAGCCTTGGATAATGGCCGAAAGGACAATATTATGGATACAGGCCGTCAAAATGAGTTTCCTCTAAAGAGTGACTGTGACCTCTCACACTTAGGAAGCTGTTTTCTCCAAAGGCATTGTTACAACATTTACTGTAGCACTTGAATTCAATACTTCCATCCTAATTTGACAAATTGAGGGTTTTTTTGATATCTTTTTTTTCTAGAGTCTAGAGCGCGGATCATTGGTGCTACCAATGTGAAATAAAAAGTGTGATGTAGAGCTCTGCTCTATGAAGAAATGGTTCATAGATGTAGAAAAAAGCAGCATAACCATTATTTTATGCAAATGACACTTGACAAACACTGCATTGATTTTTTCCTTTTATTTCAAGGCAAAAGAAACATTAAACATAGAAAGTTTAACAAAATAATCACCTATTAATTTGATCATATAAGGGAAGTTTATTTGTGTAGCACAGTTCACACACTGTGCTAAAACAGATTGCATTATTATCAAAGTAATTATCCAAAATAAGTTGGTAGTGGAACCCCTGGAGCTTGCTGTGCTGTTACAGTGTGGCTCTTACTCTCTGGCCTGTATCCCCTGGTATAAGATTACATATAACTTATGTACGGCTTTGGAGCTTGAGTGATACTCTGAAATATCTGCAAATCAACTTAAAATATGAAACCAATAAATGATTCATTACATGCTAGATGACATATGTCATTTTTAAAAATAATCACATTTTCTTAGCTCATATCATGGTGTTTTTACAAGTTGTGGGCATATTATCAACAATTATAACTAAAAGAAGCCTTGATATTTCTAACTTTAGTGAGACTGTCATCTTAGTTTCACATTGTCACTTGAATTACAGAAGTAAAGAAATGGAGGGAAAAGAATAAGGTCTAAAATCTGGTGGTGGTGAAAACTGCAATGATAAACCAATGATGAAAAGAGATAACGGGGAGGAGGTGGGTTGCAGCACAAGCTGCATTAGCACAGAAATGAATTACGAAGCATTGTTGTGTGTGAGACTCATATGTGTAGATGGGACTTATGTGTGTTGATGTGTGTGTAGATGTGCCAGTTGAGCTGATTGGTCCAGGTATGTAGTTAAGGAGAATTGAGGTGAAAATATAATCCACTCTTCTAGTCTGAACTTTTGCTATTGCTCTAATGTCAAAATACACATAATATGCATTATATGCATTATCTGCA